GACGTGTATAAAGGCGGCCATGTTTTTCCCGAATATGCACTGCCAGCCTTTGATAACCCAGACGAGGCTCCGCCGAAGGGCAGAGTCTCGTTCGTGGAGGTTGACTGCCCCTGAACCCGTTTTATACGCATTCGAATAGGGAATATCTTTGGCCGAGCCTGCGCGCTCGGAGATCCCATGTTAATCCCGGCCTTGTGCCACATGTAACCCTCGTGTTGGCGTTTCTAAATACCACTGCCAGCCTTTGATATCGAAGACTGAAGAATTACTGAACAGCTGCTGGTGGTATTGGCGATATAGTCATATTCAGTAGAGTGTCTGCCTCGTGAGTATTAATCTTTAACGTTGTTTCATTGAACAGATTACCTACTGCGCTGACTATGGTGAACATGGTCAACAATATTCATTTAAATTAATTGGTTTTGGACTTGATTTCAACACTGACCCCTCCTTTCGTGTGTCAAGAGAAAACATTAGCGTTCAGGCCCTGGACGTCTGGTTTTGTTAAATCCAGATGTTGTTGGGGTAAACATCCACTAGTAAGAAATGAAGTTCGTCAGTTGTAAGTTGGTAATGAATATCACAAACCCAATAACTTCAAATCGCTTGTAGGTTTAAATTAGTTAAGTAGACTGGTGAGCGAGTTCCATCCCAGAGATCTTTTGTGAGTAAAGCTGTTTGATTTTTGACATGTCAACCCTTGTCGAGTTATTTAATGTAGAAATTTGTATGCGGCAGTGAGGATCATTATTCATTAGTAATGGCAATGTAATCTAATCTTGTTAACCATTACCCTACGCCTTGGAGCCCAGATTCTCGGTTGACGAAATTTATTAAAGGATTTATTAAACTCATTCCAAACGACAATAAAGTGCACCCCTTCTATATTTTGGTCAGTGTTATATGCAATTTCGTAATTTGTTTATGATACATTATTATTATGTAGGATTATCCCGCTTATCTGGCAAAGTAATGCTAACGACCTGTAGATGGCGTTATCAAAAGCAGTATATAAAAATAGGCGTAAAATCACATCCTATTTTTCTCTTTTCTCCACAGATTGTTTTAGAGAGAGGGGGTGATTCATGTTCCTTCAGGGGGGGTACTTTTCAGCCTCTAGTGAACACAACACACAAAGAAAGCATCTTCGTTGTCCTCTTTTGCGTTATTTCTGTTTAGTTCTCTCGGGTATTAATCCATATTATAGTTAAATGTACATAATTATTTGTATATTCATGCATATATTTTAATGTTTGAAAAAGTTCAATCAACTCCCGTATCAACTAATATTATTACCATATTTTTCTTACTAAACAGATACCTGGAGCGATTGCTATTATCTCAACAATTATATCATTGACGAATCGAGAGAGATTTCCAAGCTTGTACAAAATGATTGACGAGACGAGAGATTTCCTAGCCTGTCCGAAATCATTGACGAGTCGAGAGATTTCTAGGCTTGTCCAAAAATCATTGACGACTCGAGAGATTTCTAAGCTTGTCCAAAATCATTGACGAGTCGAGAGATTTCTAAGCTTGTCCAAAATCATTGACGAGTCGAGAGATTTCCAAGCTTGTCCAAAATCATTGACGAATCGAATGATTTCCAAGCTTGTCCAAAATCAGTGACAAGTTGTGTGATTTCCAAGTTTCTCTAAAATCATTAACAAGTCGACAGATTTTCAAGCTTGTTCAAAATGATTGACGAGTCGAGAGATTTCCAAGTTTGTCCAAAATCAGTAACAAGTCGTGTGATTTCCAAGTTTATCTAAAATCATTGACAATTCGAGAATTCTCCAAGCCCGTCTAAAATCATTGATGAATCGCGGTGAATCATGACGCTCCAATGATTTCTTTTCTTTATTATCTGTGAATGGCCATGGATTTTTGGAGAAACATAGAATAGTTTCCCGTTTCATTCTATACAGTTCTGAATTCTGATTAGTCCTTCTTGACTGGTTGCCACCCAAGACGTTATAGACGGTTACTTAACGCATACCTAGTGAGGAGAAGCAATTATTTATCTTCTTTATGTACCCTGTCCACTCAGTACGTAGGTGATCATGGCTCTCCACAACTTCCTGTCCTTTGTAGCTCTTAATAAACTTTGTCGTTCTGTTATTTTTCTTAAACCCTGTTCCACCATCCATTTACTCAAGCTCAATAAGTATGTTATGCGTTGTTTCTCTCTTACCTTCATCTGTCCTGTGAGTATCAGATTCTCCAAGCCCTCTTTCCTCATTATGTGCCCCAGAAACCTCAACTGTTTCTTCCTGATGTTAAGTATTAGTTTCCTTTTTGTTTTCATTTTCTCCAAAACTTCATTGTTACTCACATATTCGGTCCATGTGACCTAGAAAGTTCAACTGTGTAATCCTGATATTAAGTATAAGTTTCCTTCTTGTTTCTCCAAAACTTCGCCATTGCTCACATGTTCAATCCATGGTATCCTCAGCATTCTTCTGTAGAACGACATTTCTATTGTTTCAAGTCTCTTCTTCATCTTTGAGAAAATTGTCCAGCACTAACAGCTATACATGAGGACAGGTATCATGTAGCAGTTTAATACTCTTTTCCTTGTTTCTAGCGAAACTTTTCCTATTTCTTAGTCTTCTGCTTTTAGAATGTTTCCTTATCTATCCCAATAAGTCTTCGGATCTTAGTGTCGCATTTTCTGTCCTCTGTTAAAACACTTCCCAAATATTTAAATTTCCGCACATGTTTGATTTTGGTACCTCCAATTTGCAATTTGCACTTTGTCCTTGTCTTTCTGATAACAGCCATGCAATCTATCTTCTTGCAGTTGATGTTTAATCTTTTCTTCTTGATTTCCTTAACTACCTTCTGTAGGAGTTTTTGTAGCTTTCTTTCTATGTCTGTTATTAGCATTGTGTCATCTGCATATCTTATGTTGTCAGTGGTGTGCAGATCTCTGGTAGCACCCGGGGCAAGGATTGTGACTGGTGTCCCCTACCTCACAAAAAATCACCACAGTATACTTAGTTTATTTTCTATTGGACAGATTCATTGTTCACAAAGGTTTATCACAATGGAATGTTTAAATAAAAAAAATATTAACACATTATACAAATTCAGCAAATTTTATTTATTTATTAGTTTAATACTCTTTTCCTTGTTTCTAGGGAAATTTTCCAAATTTCTGTGTACTCTGCTTTTGGAATGTTTTCTTGTCTATCCCAATATGCCTTTGGATTCACACCTTCCGCTCTCTGTTAAAACACTTCCCTGATATTTAAATTTCCTCACGTTCGATTTTGGTATCTCTGATTTGTAATTCGCACTTTGGACTCATACATTTCTCAAAATTTAAATGTAATAGTCTCGGCATAAAACTTAGCTCAACCCATCGTATAGTTTTTCAGAGGTTTGTTTTTTGGGGGATGATTACTACTCCATGACGGATATCTGAAGAACACAACTGTTACGACTAATCGACCATGGTGAGATTCGAACCCGTTTCTCATAACAAGAACGCTGTTACTCTTACCATTTGGCCACGTATCCACTTCTCTTTGCCCGTATAGAAAAGAAATATATTTGAACTTAGCTTGGAATCCTTTTGCAGCGCTCAAGAAACGTGACCTTGTGTTATCATACGTTCGAATCTTGGAATAACTGACAAAAGATATTACAGCCCTCTTAATTAAAAAAAGATTGTGCAGGAAAAATCCTGACCGTAAGTAGTGTGTCAGTGAATGAGTATAAATTCACGGGAATGATTATTTGTTTTCCCACGAGGGGATGGGTCGAAATTCTGTTGATATCTGTACGTTTATCGGCTACAAAGGTCTTCCATACTCCCGGTGAACGTCGGCCGATGCAAAGGGACGTGGCGGGACGTTATGACACCGCATGGTTCGTCTTAACTGGTTTGTGTGTTTGTTTCAAAAGACGGTGGGGCTGGGGAGTCGTTTGGTATCGTCATCTGGACTTTTGTTTTTTACGACAGCTGCAAGTTCAGTGTGGGCGGGCTGTGACAGTGGCAGGAGAGATCGGATTGGCAGCTAGATAGAGGGAGAGAGAGAAAGAGACGGATGGAGGGTGTCTAAGAGTAAATGAAGAGAGATAGCGCGAGAGAAGCCGTAGTAAGAAAGAAATAAGTAGTTATAGAGAGGGAGAGGGAAATGAGAGAGAGAGAGAGAGAGAAATGAGTAAGAGGAAGAGAAGGAGAAAGAGATAGAACGAAAGAAAATAGAAATATAGTAAGAAAAAGAGGGAAAGAAAAATAGAAAGGGAAAATAAGGAAAAAAGAATGACAAAGAGACAAATCAGCGAGAGAAAGAGAACGGGTAGGACAGTGAGGAGAAACAGAGGCAGAAGAGCAGGAATAGAGAGAAACAACATAGAAGAAGAAGAAGAAGAAGAAGAAGAAGAAGAAGCTGGTAATGAGGGGAAAATTGAGACAGATAAACAAGTGTGTGTGGGGAGAGAGAGAGCATGAGAGAGAGAGAGAGAGAGAGAGAAAAAGAAAGAGAGAAATGAGTAAGCGGAAGAGAAGGAGAATGAGAAAGAGAGAAAGAGTGTAAAGTAAACAGAGAAAAATAGTAAGAAAAAGAGGGAGGGAAAAATAAAAAGAGAAAATAAGGAAAAAGAATGACAAAGAGAAAAAGGAAGGAGGGAAGTGAGGAATAAGAGAGAAACAAAGAGAGTGATATATATATATATATATATATATATATATATATATATATATAGAGATAGGGAGAGAGAGAGAGAGAGATAGAAAGGGGGGAGAGAGAGAGAAAGAAATAGAAAGAAAGAGATAGAGAATGAGAGAGAGAATGCCAGTAAGAGAATATCGAAAAAAGACAGAAATATATATATATATATATATATATATATATATATATATATATATATATATATATATATATATATATATATATATATATATAGAGAGAGAGAGAGAGAGATAGATAGATAGATAGATAGACTGAATGAGACAGACTGAGAGAGGGGGAAGAGATAGTAAAGCAGAG